CTGCGCGTCCACAGTGCCACCAGAGTGCGTCGCCAGTCTCATCGCTCTCGTTGTCGTTGTTATATTTCGCTCACTGGTCGCTCTTGCCGCAACCCCTTTCGTCATCATCCTCGCCGTCGTTGTCAGAGCCACTGCGAGATAATATCCAACAAATGCCGCGCGACCAGCACCGGTCCGTTTGCATCCTATCCATTTTGAACCACCCTGCAGCGTGGATCCCTCGCGCTCGTAAATGGGTGGCGGCTGCGATTCGTCACCAAGCACGCGCCACGCGGGTGGCCTTTCGGCCAAGTGGGCAAACCTTTCACCGCGCATGCCGCCAGACGAAGAAGACAGGCACAACCGATGCCAAGTTTAATTTGCGCACGGTTTGCTTGCCACATGAATAGCCCGAGCATATTTTCCTCCTTTCGGCGGCGAGCGAGGGGGAGAATTTAAAAGGAGAAGGCCTTCCCAGAAGGCGGCGGGACATCTCGGAAATCCTCGCGCCTTCGGGGACGGTTTCCTTGTCTTCCGGGACGGCTTAGAACACTTCCAGAAGACCGGAGGACCTCCGAGCCTTCTGAGAGAGAAGGCCCGCCCCTTCTCACTTCCCCGCCCGGGCGCGCTGCCAATCCTCAGCGTCCTCCTGTTCATCTTTCCCCCCCCACCTCCTGGGCATGCCTCGTCGGCTGTGGCCCTGCGACTCCTTTTTTTCCCATGGGCTGTGAGGATTGCTCGGAGCCCTGCGAAGCCCAAGGCGGCGCGGCCTGTTGTCGGGCCCAGCCTTGGGCAGCTGCCTGCGGAGGCGGCTGCGCTGGCACCGCGCGGAAACAGCGTGGATGTCTCTGCGGGGCGGAACAGATTCCTCCACCTCCTTGGCTCGGCGGCGAGCGAGGGGGGGAAGTGAGAAGGGGCGGGCCTTCTCAGGAGGCTCGGAAGACCCCCAGCCTTCCGAGCAGTTCTTCCCCAATGCGGCTTGCCTGAGGGGTTCTTGCTTGTTGACAAGTTGGTGTCTCGGGGGGCGAATTTGCCCGTTGCCTGGAGGTTCCTCGGGTTGCTCGGGTTCCTCTGGTTCCCCGCCCGCGGTGCAAGGTTGGTGCTTCGGAAAGTTCCTGTGCCCGTTGCCCGGAGGTTCCTCGGGTTCCTCGAGCTCCTCGGGGATCCCGCCCCCGGTGCCTCCTACTGTCACCTTGCCCGTTTCCCGAAGGTTCCTCGGGTTCCCCGGGATCCTCGGGTTCCCCGGTCATGTTCGTGGGTTCTTCGGGTTCTCCGTTTCTTCCTTGTCTTGGTTTCGCGGGTTCGGCGGTGGTTTTCTAGGGTTCCCCTGGGTTCTCCTTGGTCTTGTTCTTTGCTTGAGTTCCTCGGGTTCCGTGGTCTCGTTCCTCGGGCTCCCCAGCACTGCACATCAGTTCTAAGCAACGCCAAGCAAAGCCATGCAATGCAAAGCAATGCCAATCCGTGCGAAGCAATGCCACGCAATGCCACGTGATGCCAAGCGGTGCCAAACAAAGCAACATAATGCCAAACAGTGCCGAGCAATGCAAAGCAATGCCAAGCAACGCCAAGCAGTGCAAACCATTGCCAAGCAGTGCCGAGCAACGCCAATCAATGCGCCCGTGCGATAGCTTTTTCCCCCTGATGGGAGTCGCGCCGGGTGCATCCCACCCCGCCTTCCCCGAGGAGGCAGAAAACTTCTCAGAAGGCCAGAGGCCTTCTGAGAAGCCCCGCCGCCTTCTGAGAAGGCCTTCTCCTTCTCATTTGCCCTGCTCGCTCGCCGCCGACTGGCGTCAGGGACGTCCCCTCATGTCTGGCACCCCTTGCCGCCCTGCCGAGGACGCGACCAGCTCAGTCCCAATCTGTGAGTTCTCCCCGTGGCTTCGTGCCGTGCAGCCGCTGCCACACATCGGAAACTCTCAACGCAGCATGTGCTCTTTGGCAGCTTCATGATTCGATCGAGGCGCACCCAAAGTAGCACGAATGTGTGGTGGTTGATCTTTTGTCCTAAGGCTTACATGTGCCAGTGTTCGTTGTGTTGATGAATATGGAAGTATTGGTGCTAGTGCTCCGTACGCTTGTGACATGTACCGTCGTGCTGTCATGCCGAGCCACATGCACCTTAACATCAGGAAGGCTTCTGCGCAACATAATTCACATGGTCATGTTCAGCAGTGCTTCCCCCCTGTTGTACTCTCTCTCTGAAGCAGTTGGGCTTGAATGGAGAATTTTACATGAGCCATGCATCCCACTGGGAAGCCTTGTTCCGATGCCATCGGGTTCCTTCCGATCGCAGCGAGTACGTGCTGCAGTTGCGTAGCCCCAGCTGCCTCCTAGACTGCTAACTCCTCTTGCCTTCCGTATCCAACCCCCAGTGTAGGACCCAGAGCGTCGTCTCGTGCCAAGTGCCAAGCAGGATTGGGCGTACCTCACCAAAGAGCCGAAGGGCGCGGAAGAGGCAGAGGAGGAGGGGGGGTAAAAGGGGGCGAGTGATGGCCCGCTGGTAGCCCGACGGGTACCGGCCCGACAGGCACCACTGGCAGCCGAGCTGACCCGTCGAGCGAGTGCACGACGGTTGCAGGCACGGCAGGTGGCGAAGTTTCGCCGCCGCGCTGGGTCCTCACCCCAGGAGGTCCCCAGAAGACCATGGAGGCTTCAAGAAGGCTCCAGCCCCAAACGCAGAAAAACCGGCCGAAGTGGTTCAAATGTTTGTCAGTGTGGGCCACAGGCAGAAACAGTTCTCGCACCATCGCGGTGCATTCTGCGCGGCTCCATCCCGTGAGCCAGCGTGGTGGCGCAAAAAAGCGAGGTGCCGCAGGCGCCGGGGTGCCGGCTCGAGGACGCAGGCCGTGTCGCACAGTCTGTGGGCGCAGGCTGCGCGGTGCAGCCTCGGAGCTGCGAGCTGCACCCGCCTCCTGCAGCGCGAGCCGGCGGGCACGCCGCGGGCACGCCGCGGGCACGCCGCGGGCACGCCGCGGGCACGGGCGCGAGCTCCCGGGAGCGCCAGCCCGCGCGCGGGGCAGGCACGGGGGCGGGCGGCCGCGGGCGGGCACCGGACGACGGCCTGGCCTCCGAGCGCCGAGGCCCGCTCGCCTCCTCCGCGGAGGCCTGCGGCCGGGGCCGCTCGTGGGGGGGGCCCCTCTCGGGGGGCCGCCGCCTGCCGGCGCGCGGAGCGGGCAAGGGAGGCGGGCACGACGGGGCGGGCCCTCGCAGGAGGGAGCCCGCAGCCCGCTCTCAGAGCGCGGCACGAGGCGGAGGTCGAGAGGCCCCCCACCCTTCAGGAGGGAAAGAAATACACAGACACAATTAGTCGGCGATTATTTTGTGTATTTGTGTGTATTTATTTGTGTGTATTTATTTGTGTGTCCCAGGGCCCCTTTAACCCTGGCCACGTCGCGGGGCGAAGTGGCCGCTTGCGGCTCGCGAGAGGGCGTCGCGGCCGTCGTTTTTGTTTCGGGTCCAGGTCCGCCGGTTTCGGCCCTGGGCCAGTTTCACGAACGGGAGGTTTGCGGTGGGGGCGTTGGTTAAGGAATGCGCCCAGGATGCTGCAGACCCTGGAGGACTCCTTATCGGCTGAGGGCGGCGGTGGTATCCATGGCCAAGCCTCGATTGGAGTTCCACCGGCCTCCAGACACTGGATTCCTTATCTAAGGGTTCCTTACAGTGCGGGCGCGGCCGCAAGAAACCCTCGCAAGAAACCCAACCCTGAGCACCCGTGCGCGAGGTGCACCCGAAGGGAAACCCAGAGCACCCTGAACGGCAGCGGCTCCTTCAGCGGCTGCGGGCACTCACCGCGCAGCGCGAGGAGCGAAGGAACCCAGGATTCCCGGACGAAAAGCATATGGTTTCTTGATGCGCGCCCCCACTGCATCCAATGCCCCCGCCGTGCTACAGGGAGGCTTGCCCACCGCCGAAGCAGGCGGACACCAGGGGCCCAGCCGGCGCAGGGAGCGGGCACGAGGCCCCGCACGGGCGGGCACCGCACGAGGGCCCAGCAGCACCCGCCCTGTCAGATCTTGCGCCGGGGGGGGGCGCCCGCACAGGGGAGGCCCATGCCAAGGGTTGGTGATGTTCCGACCTAGTTTAGCCTCGATCACCAGAACTCATTTCGGGCACCCGAGAAGTACCGCAACTCGACGGTTTTCACGTGGCGGGCCCTGTGAGACACTCGCCCGACACTGTTTCGACACTCTTTCGACACTTTTCCGGGTGCTCGAAATTATTTCTGGGATGTGGTCCTTAAGTACGATGGGAGCAACATAAGCCAAGGGACACCCTGCTTGCCTCCAGGGTGCCCTGGGTCTCTTGGGTCTCGAGGGTTTGGCTCTGGGCGGCGTGGCGTCCCCACACCAAGAGCCGATGGGCGTCCCGGGGCCTCGGGGCGGGGCTTCTCTTGTCGGGGAAACGTAAGACTCGAGTAAGCCGGAACTCGGGTTTGTCGACTTTGTTTGACCAGCGCGTCCTTGATTTTGACGGTCCAGTTTTCGTGGCATGTTTGCAGCGGGAGCTCGCGTCAAATTTCAGATTGAGCCTCGTCATTTTCATGATGGTCCCGTCAGGCCAACCCGAGTCCCCCGTAACCGAGTCTTGCGTCTCCCCGATCTTGGGAGGTTTGTGGGAAGTTGGCCTCCATGGTGGTAGTTCGAGCGCCGCTCGGGCGACAGGAGCCCTCCCTCGGTCCAGGAGGGTCGGCCGAACGCCGCCCAGAATCGGTCGCGGGCTCTCTCCTGGGGCATCTCCTGGCCAGCTCCTCGAGCCGCGCCCAGCCGTGGCGGCGCGGCCCTCCCGGGAAGGCCCCCCGAAAACGGCCGAGGCGAGGGCGTCGGAGCCGAGGGCAGAGCTCGGTATCAGGCGATCGCAAACATGGATCACGGGGGCGTGGATTGGCGACGGGTCCCGCTTCCATGGGAGATCGCGGATCCCCCCGCCGCCGAGCGAGGCGGCACCGGCCGCATTTTGGGGAGGGCACCTCCCCCGATCCATGGATTTGGCGACCGCGCGCCGACTCCGTGGATCGCTAATCCATGTCTGCGCGCCCCCGACAGCAGGTGCCAGCAGCAGCCGCATGCCAGCAGAGTGGCCGCAGTTTGCCGGCGCGCAGGGCGCGAGGGACCGCGGCTCGCCCCGCGCCTGCAGGGATCACCGGCCTGCGGCCGTGGCAGCCCCTAGCCGCGCGCGCCACGGTCACTCGGAGCCATCCTTGCTGGAGCCGTGGGCGGTGGGGTGGGGGGGGAAGGCCAGGAGGATGGGGAGCAGGAGGAGGAGGAGGAGGAGGAGGAGGAGGAGGAGGTGGAGGAGGAGGAGGAGGAGGAGGAGGAGGTGGAAGGCCCGGATGATGATGATGATGATGATGATGATGA